GTAAGTTTAACCCCTTACTCACCCTAGAGCTCGGCGGGAGGGGGCACCCTGAGGGTGGGGGCACCCTCAGTGCACTATAGTGCCAGGAATTATACAAAATGGCAATTTTTAATTTTTTTTTACACAATACAAAAGTTCACTTAGCAACAGATGTATAAATGCAAATTTCAGTGGGATTCATTACAGAGCAAATCAACTTGGTCAGTTAGACATTCCTTAACACAAGACAGACACTGCATTTTACAGCGCAGCACAAGGCAGTCTGACAGTCTGACTCACTGAATTATCTTTCTCACTGCTAGTTACAATTCTCACTGGGGAATAATAAGATCAATTAATTATTCCTTCCATTCAATAACCAAGAATAATTCTAACCAGATTTTTAGCCTAGCGGAAATTTAAACTTTCTTAATTAAAGATTACTATACTTAAAGGACCACTATAATGCCAGGAAAACATACTCGTTTTCTTGGCACTATAGTGCCCTGAGGGTGCCCCCACCCTCAGAGTCCCCCTCCCGCTGGGCTCTAGGGGGTGGAAGGGGTTAAACTTACCTCTTTCTCCAGTGCCTGGCGGGGGACTCTCCTCCTCGTCGGCTGAATGCGCATGCGCGGCAGGAGCCGCGCACGCATTCAGCCAGTCCATAGGAAAGCATTCTCCACTGTGGTGGTTCCGTTTGGTTATGGGACACCACCACCTAGGAGAGCAGTGCCGCCTGGTAGTAGAGTTTGAGGTTCGGCAAGCTGAGGCCGCCTTCCTCCACTGGACTATGCAGGATTCTAGCTTTTTTAGGTTCCCATGTGAATTGCATCAGGTGTTTCTGGGTAGAATTGAAGTAAGATTGTGGGATATGGATTTGGAGGGTGCGAAATAGGTATTGAAGTTTTGGTAAGAGGAGCATCTTTACTGCCGCCAGCCGGCCTAGCCATGATAGGTATTTCCCTTCCCACGACTTCAGACTCATTTCTAGTTCTGTGCGTAATCTACCATAGTTAAAGTGGAACAGGCTGTCAGGGTTCTGGGTAATTTGAAGCCCCAAGAAGGACACATAGTCCGACCTCCAATCTAGTTAAAAATGTTGTTGTAACGTGGCAAGTAAGGGGGCGGTGATAGCTATTCCCATTGCTTGGGTTTTTGACACGCTTAGTTTATACTAGGAATTTTCCCTGTATTCTATTTCCCTGAGGAGTTTTGGCAGAGATATCTGTGGCTACGCCAAGGTCAGAACGACATCGTCCGCAAATAAGTTTGTTTTATACTCGCGCTCTCCTACTGTGACTCCATAAATGGCAGCATTGTCTCTAATTCTGTCTGCCAGTGGTTCCAGCACCAAAACATAAAGGAGGGGTGACAGCGGGCAGCCCTGTCTCACCCCATTGGGGATTTTAAATGGGTCAGACAGGAATCCCGCATTAAGGACCCGTGTGGTAGGTGTGCTCTGACAACCGCCACAAATCCTGTATGTATCTCTACTGGCCATTACCGCCTCCAGGAAGCACGAGTGGAGACGGTCAAAGGCTTTCTGTGCATCTAGGGACAAAAGCAGCCCCCCCCTGCCGGCGGGCTGCCTCATGCTGTGTATCAGATCAAGGACCTTACGGGTGTTCTCCGATCCCTGTCTACCTTCTACAAACCCAACTTGGTCCGAGTGTGTGAGATGGGGTAAAATGTTCCCAGTTTGGCGAAGAGTTTTGCGTCTGTGTTTAGGAGTGAGATCAGCTGGAAGTTTTGTGGTTGGGTCGGGGGCTTGCCCGGTTTGGGCAGTGTGACTATGTGAGCCATAAGTGTGTCGTTGTGGAGGGCTTGGTCAGTAACTGCCTTGTTGAATAGCTGTGTGAGCTGAGGTGCTAGAATGGTGCTGAAGGTTTTATATTAGGAGTTATCGAACCCGTCCGGTCAAGAGGATTTCCCTTTTTTCAGGGTTTTGATCACTGATACACAAAAAGATACACATGCAAATACACAGACACACATATAGACACACATCCATATAAACAGATGCACATACTGACACAAACACACAGTGTGTGTGCTAGGAATGTAGTGTGTGCGTGTGTGCTGGGGATGTAGTCTGCTGGGGATGTAGTGTGTCTGTGTGTGTCCTAGGGATGTAGTGTGTCTGTGTGTGTGCTAGGAATATAATGTTTCTCTGTTTGTGTATGTTGGCGATGTAGCGTCTCTGTGTGTGCATGCTAGGGATGTAGCATGTCTGTGTATGTATGCTGGGGATGTGTCTGTGTCTGTGGGCTGGGGATATATTGTAAAATAAAATATTGTGGTTAATTCGAAAAGTAACCTTAGTTATAGAAAATCTGGTATGGCTGTAGTAAACCACTCTACTGGAGAATAAGGATTCCACTAAAGATCCTTAATATTGCAAAACAGGAAAGAGATATATTAGACAAATATCTAATAAAGTATCCAGGAATGGTTCACGTTATATACCTTTAAATGCAATGATAATTATTAAAAGTTACATAAAAAATATATTCAACAGAGCATTGACAGTAATGTCCGATTTGATGCAGGAAAAAGAGAAGAAAAATAAATTGTCCAATTTGAGGCAGGCTTTAAAATAGATGCAATGTATCAGAAAGTAGCAGCAGTCTTTTAAGTTGTAAACTGATTCAGTTCACTCCAATTATAGAAGAACTGGTATCTGGATACTGAATCAGTTAGTTTCTATTAGTACAATATTATAAATGGTCCTTCTGAATAATATTTGTACCTGTGTTTGAGTAACAAGTATAAAATTTCATTGACAGGTCATGGTTGGTGACCCTCAATCAAATATTAAGTCTTGGTCTTTGGTTTTGCAACTTGTTACTCAAACACAGGGACAAATATTATTCACAAGGACCATTTATAATATTATCTATTTTAAAGCCTGCCTCAAATTGGACAATTTATTTTTCTTCTCTTTTACCTGCATCAAATCGGACATTACTGTTAATGCTCTGTTGAATATATTTTTTATGTAACTTTTAATAATTATCATTGCATTTAAAGGTATATAACGTGAACCATTCCTGGATACTTTATTAGATTTTTATCTAATATATCTCTTTCCCGTTTTGGGGATATATTGTGTCTGTGTGTGTGCTGGGCATGTAGTGTATGTGTGTGTGTGTGAATGCTAGGAATGTAGTCTGTGTGTGTGTGTGTGTGTGTGTATGCTAGGAATGTAGTCTGTGTGTGTGTGTGTGTGTGTGTGTGTATGCTGGTGATGTAATGTGTCTGTGTGTGTGCTGGGGATGTAGTGTGTTTCCAGGGAATTTAGTGTATGAGCTAGGGATGTAGTATGTTTGTGTGTGTGCTAGGAATGTAGTGTGTATCTGTGTGTGTATGCTGGGAATGTAGTGTGTCTTTGTGTATATGCTGGGGATGTAGCATGTATGTGTGTGTGTGCTGGGGATATAGTGTGTTTGTGTGTGTGCTGGGCATGTAGTGTATGTGTGTGAATGCTAGAAATGTAGTGTGTGTGTGTATGCTGGTGATGTAATGTGTCTGTGTGTGTGCTGGGGATGTAGTGTGTTTGTGTGTGTGCTGGGGATGTAGTGTATATGCTGATTTACAGATACAGGCATACAAAGACATATATACACAGTCCTACACAGACATATAGTCATACAGATCAGGGGTGGATCCAGAACCTAATCTGGGGAAGGGCACTGGTAGTGGGTTGTAGTGGGGTAATAATGGCTGTAATTGAGGAGTTAGGGGGAGTAGTAGGGGGTGATAGAGGGGGGGGGGCAGGAGCTGTAGAAGTGGAGGGGGACAGGAACTGTCGTGGGGGCCAAAGGGGCAGTGGAGTGGACAAGTGGCTGTATAGGGAGTGACAGGGGCTGTAGAGAGGGTGACAGGGACTGTAGAGAGGGTGACAGGGATTGTAGAGTGTGGCACAGGAGCTGTAGGGGGGGCAGGGGCAGTGGTGGGGGACAGGGGCTTTAGAGGAGGGCACAAGGGACTTACATAAAACAAAATTTAAATGTATTCCCCCCTCCCTGAGGCTTACCTGGTGGTTGGATGAGACAGGAACAGGGGCAGGAGCAAGATACAGTACCGCACAGCACAGACACTGTATAGCACCATGATCAGGCAGCAGGGAAGGAGTTAAAAATAAATAAAAAACTGCTGTAACTGACAAAAAAAGGTCAAAAAGTGATTTTTTGAGCCTAAAAAAATAAATAAAATAATACTAATTTAATCACCCTAATCAGTCTGATCACAGGGTTAATAATGTGATCTCTCTGCCTCAGATCAAAGTGAGAAGAAGAGAGGGCCAGAGAACAATGTCTCAGTCAATTTTACAATTCATTGTTTGAGACATTGTAACAGTGATTGCATGTCTCAGATTGCCACAGACACTCAGATGGCGATCGGCAGGCTGGGAAGGGAGGTGGGCTGGCGGGAATGCTAGATCATAGGGACGTGCTAAAGGATTACAGTTTAAACAACTCCAACTGAGTAAGCTAGATGAGTTAGTTATGGGTTTATATAGCTATACAAAAACTCACATGGCAACTCCCTCACTCCCTCTGTTAACTCATCAGTTGCACACAGGGAAAAAAAATAGCTTTTACCCTTAAATACCTTAGATCACCTCCGCTGCCCTCCCCACTGCATCTATCAACCATGATGGTAAAACCAGGGATTTGATCCTTGTCTGCCAGGTTTCTTAACATCCTGAAATAATAGCGCTGACTAGATGTGCACTTTGGAGGAATGTTGGTAGTGTATCGGTACACAGATGTAAAGAAAATTAGAAACCAATTAAAAAAACTGCCAGGAGCCAAGCCCCATGACCAATAAGAAAGTTAAGAAGTCCATGCGGTAATGTGTTCAGGTTGGCAGTTGGCTTGGTATCAATGGGACTTAAACCCCCATGTTCCACTTGATATTGCCTTATACTAAATCAGAATCCAATTGAGGCACTTGTTCTAAGCAGATGATTCCATGAAAAATGTTCATGTTTATTTTGACAATATATTTTTTTTATTCTTTATTTTTGTAGTGCATAAGCTTATAACAGACGGTTGTGAGGTACCACAAAGGCATTCTTCCAACGCAATATAGACAGTTAGGTACATGATACATCTGGCACAATTGTTATGTTTTAGGATAGTTTGAGTAGTAAACAGTAGAGGTGTTCATAGCCAAATCTGTCCCATAACTGAAAACAACATCGCTGAGTTATATAGACATGAAAGTATTATGCTGTGCAAGGTTTAGCTAGGTATTGTGATGTAAACCACTGGGATCTAGTTAGGACAAGAGCAACTTTACATTAATATGCTGATGTCGGCAGGGGAGCTTAAGCATCGTGGGGTGTGCAACAGTTGATAACATCTTGGTATTTAGCTATCGTGGTGGCGAGAGGTGTTCCAGACTAAGTGATAAAGAAAGGAAAAAGTCAGCTTTAACCTCTTTGGACCTGTATTAACGTGGCAGCCCTATGAGCGTACATAACTATTATAAGGCATTGTAAAGCTGTAAAAACAATTAGAGCATCACCCGGCAATGTAAAGCAAGGCTCTCGTGAGGTTGTACGGTGGGTGCTTCAGCCTATGCCCAGTATTGGGAAGACCCGGTTGTTGCCACTGAGAGTGTCTCTTTTGGAGCCCCTGGGCACAGTGTCTCTGCGTCGAGTGCCAGCTCTGGTAGTGCCCTGGGGGGTGCACAGCCACTTGGTCTTTGGTTTTGCAGCTTTGGCTGGGAGGAGCCGGGTCACGTTATGCCGGATGGTGAGAGTCTGGTCCGGTGAGGTCCTGTCTTGTGGCGCTTGTGTGGTGTTCTCGCTTTTGTGTAGTCGCGAGTGGGAGCCTGCGCCTGAGAAACATGGCACCCTTTTTCCGCCTTGAGGACTGCTGGAATCTACGCTGCCGGACGGCCTCTTTGGAGGCTTGGTGGTAAGTTGCCCCTCGGCTGTGCAGTGCGTCCCAGAAACTTTTGCAGAGCCGGTCAAAAGTCCCCTGAGGTGGCGTGGATGGCTTGCTTTGGGCGTTACGTTCTTGGGGTCTGTGCTGGGCGGCCATTTTGGCTGTGCTTTGGAGGCCCGTTGCCCCTGTTTGCTGTGTGGCTAGCTTGGCAACTCTCCGTTCCGGTCGGTTCGTCCAGTGGGGCCCAGGATATCACTCACCGGTCCAAAGGGGGGGAGGGGTAGGCTGTAGGCAAGTCGCTTGAGGACCTTGGCGTCAAGGAGAGCGGCCACCTCCCCCCGACTCCAGTCCCAGTAGGCCGCACTTCAAGCTTTGCGCTCCTGGCCCCGACGGGCCTCGCGGTGGTGTCATTCGAGTCGGTGGGGTACCCCTCACGTGGGTGGTGCCCCCTGGAAGGACCTTGGGTCATATTTCCCCCGCTTTTGCCCCATTTTCATCACACTTGGCAGGAGCTCGCGCCAGACACATCTGCACGGATTGGTGTCCAGGCTCCGCCCCCCGACAATCATTTTTTTGGAGGGTTCTATTTTGTGGTGAAGCAATACATACCAAACTATACACAATTAACTTTGCAATGGCAATGTTTTGTTTTTTCTTATATTTAAATGTAATTTTGTTGCACCCTTCTATGGAAGAAATAGGGCACATCGATGTTTTATAATTAATCTATAAATGTTTTACGATTCTGATTATGATTTTTTTTTGCTTACTGACCCGAATTAATATAGGTTTTGCTTCAATGGCATTGGTAACAGTTATTTGCAGGAGGGATGTCATAATTATTAATTTATTGATGTATTTGACTCTGGACATTCCTAAGGTTAATTAGACTTGATGGGCTGTGCAATACATTAGATAGATTAGTATGCCTTTATTGCAAGTCAGCATTAATACATACATATTTTGCATCAATAGTTCAGAAACAAAAAGCTAATATTTAAGTGACACTATAGCCACAAAAACAACTTTAGCTTAATGAAGCAGTTTTAGTGTATAGATCATAATCCTGTAGTCTCACTGCTAAACTCTGGAATTTAGGAGTTAAATCCTTTTTGTTTCTGTCCATGCAGCCCTAGCCACACCTCCCCTGGCTGTGACTCACACTCCATGCTTGAAAGAAAAAATGTTTTAATTTCAATTAGATGCAATTTAAAAGTTCTTATTGGCTGCTCTGTAAAGTGAACTTTAATCATACACAGGAAGTTTCTGTGGGGTCTAGCAAGCTATCAACAGTGCAGGGGATAATACATTTTAAATTAAATAGAATTTCCAATGAAGGAAGTATAAACATTAGCTGACTCTTTACAGGAAGTGTTTAGGAAGCCTATGCAAGTCACATGCAGGGAGGTGTGACTAGGGTGCATAAACAAAGTGATTTAACTCCTAAATGCCAGAGAATTGAGCAGTGACACTGCAGGGAAATGAACTATACACCAAAACTGCTTCAATAAGCTAAAGTTGTTTTAGTGACTAGTGTTCCTTTAATTATTTTCTTGAAATTTCAATATCAGACACTTTTTATACTGGAAGAAAGTCTATGCATTATCCTGCTAAGTTCTTGAATGATGCTTTTGATGTCCATACCATTTCTAGAAGCTAAAAGAGATGATTGGCTAAAAGGGAACACAAGGAGAAAGTTACCGACATGAGATGGGGGACTTTTTTCCAAGTCAGAAATAAAATATAAAGGAAACAGGTTATACTCATTGGGTTTCCACTGGTTGTAGTGCCATGCACTTTCTACAGTTGTTTTAATCCTTGTGTACCGTACTGGATGAGTTTTGGAAATAACTTTTGAGTCTGCTAACTTCTGGGATACATTCATACGCTCTCTTAGCCTGGACGTAAGGGTTTTTCGAGGAGAAGATCCTGTTATTCCATTTGATGTTATTCTCTTGTTCATTGTGTCATCTGGGAAGTCTTGAAAGGATGTTTCTTCAGCATCACATTTACAGCATATTTCATTCACTTTATTATCTGATCTCTTTGTCTCACTGTCACCAATTGTTCTAGGAGAAGTGTCAGGATGTGTAGTTTTAGAATTGACCGATTGGACATAGTTTGGTGCCTTATTTTCTGTAGAATAATCTTTGGCATAGCTACTCGGTTTGATTTCTTCAGTTCTTTGTGAGTTAGCACTCTCACATGATGTGTGTGAACAACTGTGTAACACGTGTGGTGTCATACTGCTTTTTTTGATACTGGAAGCATCTCTTAGTCCATCTGACGGTTTGAAGTTGAGGAGCTCAATGATATCATTTATAAGACTTTTTTTCACAGTGACATCATTAGAACATTCTAAAGACAGGGCAGGGCTATAATTCACTTCTAAAAGCCATGGCTTAAGAGTTTCATCAATGAGGATGTCAAACCCCATAAGTTCAAAGCAGTTAGAGGAAGAAGGAACAGAGGAAGCAATGGCCAAAAGTGTCATTGTCACTATATTATAAATTTTCTGCCACAGCATGGTATCATCCACATCTATACCACGAAGGTAAGACCTGAATTGAGCAAATGTCCACTTACATCCACTTCCAACTCTTTCCTTTTCTGTAGTATATGAGGTGCTATATTTGTTAATGCTGGTGTTTGTTAAATGAGCAAAAATATTATCAAGGCAACTGAGGCTAAATTTCTCTGTCGCAAACCTGACCAGTCCTTCCTGGTACACATATATAGTCAATGGGCAGAAACAGGTAACGCAAACATAAATACGCAGGTCAAATTTGTACCCAGAGATCAGTAAAGGATTTGTTATATATTTCTGTACAATTACTGCACAGTCATATGCCAAATCTTTAATATCCTGGAAAACAAATATTCCTCTTCCTCTGGACAGGTCAGTGGGCTTACAGATCCAATAGCTTGACTTTTTATTATGTTTTTCCTTCATATATTCAGCCAAAAACTTAGTGTATTCATTTGGCAAGATGAAAGCTTCGGGGCTAAACTCATAGTTGGCTGGTCCATATATGCCTTTCATGCGTTTCAGGTGTCTTGCCAAACAATCCTTCTTCATCATCTGTGCTGTTCTTGGATGATGGTTGAGTCGCTGCCATGGCTTAACATGGTCATGGTCAGATGCTCTAAATGCAGATGTCCGCCAGTGTAAGTTCCATTCAGTTAATGCATGTTCTTGCTCATTAAATTCTTCCCAACCACGTTCAAGCAACACCTCCCGAACTACCCTGGGAGCACTGTCATTAAGTCGGAACACAAGGGGACTTGATGCATTGTCTTCTTCGTCACCATTTGCCATAGTTGGGTCTTGTGCATAGGACATATTTAACTGTAAATAAAGTTAAAACATTATGGTCATGTTAACATTGTACTTGTCTTTATAACAATTAACTTTAATTTCTTTCATTGTGTAAACTAAAGTCGCAGTCATACATTGAAACTGAGAAAAATTATATTAATATAATTATAATGTTTATAATATTATATAAATCGATGTTATGAATGGTGAACAAGGAAAGCTTATGACTTACTGGGCTCAAAGTGAATTCAAAGTGAATTTTTAATTTAAGGCCACAGTAGCTGAACTGAAAGCATAGCTGACATAAAGAATTTTGCCATTCGGCTAATTTGACCTTAAATTTGAAATTCATGTTGAATTCACTTTAAATGTTCACTTTAGTAAATAACACTGTAAGTGTATGGGAAGCAATTTTTAACCATATAACCTTTTTAGTATGTCCTAAACACAGCAAATAGTATACTGGAAGATTCAGTTCTGGCCGGACCTCAATTCCGCCAAATTCAGTACGAGTGGATGATCGGCCAAAGTTCCGATTTCCAGGCCACCATGTGACAAAATCTTTGAATCCAGTTCTTCTTTCTGAGTGTTGTTCCTGGCACCAGAAAAAAGGGGGAAGGAATAGAGAAGAGGCGTTTTCTTTTTTTTGGGTGGGGGCAAATAAGTAGCTTTGCTTGCCATGATGGACAAGAAGTCGGCCCAATCACATGGTCTGAATCTACTGTCCAATCAAGAGGTAGCAAAAAAAAAAAAGATTGTTGGTTAGAGGACAGCCACTAATTGTTGACTTTATGACAGATGAAGTGAAGTAATCAAGAGAGGGAAATAATGAGTAGCTATAAAACAACTATACTTCCAAGGATTCTTCTAGACAATTTGATTCAGGGCTAGTGATTCTGTTAGGCCATTTAAATGGTGGCCTTTGGCGCTCTTTAATAGGGGATGCCCTCGGCGACCATAATTCCAGCTCCATGTGAGAATATTCCAGCCTGCTGTGATTAAAATTTGAGGTGTTGGGCGCATACAGCAGCAGCACTTACACTGCTAATCACCATTCAGGCACGCTCAAGACTTTAACTGGATAATCAGCCTTCAAAGTAGAAGAACAGTGCAAGGGCACATCATCCACATGCTGCAGACCCCTATGTGTGTGGATGTGTATGTACGTATGTATAGGTGTATGTATGAAGCAGTGTGTGTGTGTGTGTGTGTGTGTGTGTGTGTGTGTGTATAGATCTTCCCTTGAGAAATATATAAATATATATTAGGCAGTGTTTTTATATAGACCTGCCCTTCCTTTCTCAAATGGTCTCATCTTTTTGTTTTATTCGCCTCTTACGCTAGTGTCTTTCTTGCTATGTGCTTGTCTTGTGAAGAAAAAAGAAAAAGAAAAAAAAAAGAAGACACGCTGAAACTTGGGGTCTATTAACAAAGCAGTAATTTGACACGTTTCTTTTAAAACATAGGTCAAAATAGCAAAGTTAAAAACTTCTTCAACTTGCGGGAGATGGATATTTTTTCCAACTTTTCTATTTTTGCCTCACTGTTTAAAGGGACACTGTAGGCACCCAGACCACTTCAGCTGGGTGCAAACTCCCATCAACCTTAACCCTAGAGTGGTAATTATTGAAGTTTTTATAAACTGCAATAATTACCTGCAAGGTTTAACTAGTCCTCTAGTGGCTGTTTACTAGACAGCCACTAGAGGGACTTCCGGGCTTGAAGGTGACTTTTGGTCGCCTAAACGACACTGGATGTCCTCACGCTATGCATGAAGAATTCCTGCATCAACAGAATCCCCATAGGAAAGCACTGAATAATGCTTTCCTATGGGGAAATCCTAATGTGAGCGCAGCCATTACCACACATGTGCATTAGATCTCGCCCGCTAGCCAGTGCCAAGGGAAGTGCACCACTGGGGTGGACCTTTACAAAGGGAGAAGCTATAGTGCCAAGACAACAAGTTTGTTTTCCTGGCACTATAGTTTTCTTTTAATTAACAGACCTATTTGGGGGGAAATACTATGAAGAAAAACAAAACAAAAAATACTGTGAAAAGGGCAAAAGACACTGACAAAAAAGTGACAGACTGGAAAGATTAAGTAGAGACGAGTAGGCAGCGATTGCAAGTGGAGGAAAAACCAAGGGAAATTTGAGAGAAAAAGTGTAGACAGTTTTGCTTAGCAGGAGGAATGGAAAAGGAACAGTTAAAAAGGAATAATCAGACACAGAGACTATGGGTTTATTCATCAAACACCAAACTGTAAGAAAGAGAAAATTGCTAAATTTAGGCTAAAATAGCTGATTTGAAAAATGTAGTGAACATCTGAGAGAACTGAACTGTATCTCATGACAAGGCAGCAAATGGATTTTTGACAAAAGCAGCAGAAATACTTGCATCTGCTCTGCTTTGACCTCAACTTCTGAAGGAAATAGACCAGCAATGATCCTGTGTATTTACCCTTGCTGTGCTAGTGTTGGAAAGGGAGGCAGCCTGGGTCCAGTGGTGCATCCTGGTTTTGTGCTGAACTCAGGCACCCTTCACCCCACCCCCCTACCCCGCCTTCTAAATACACACACATTCACTGACAGACACGCATACACTAGCTAACAGATATACACACTCACTAACAGACACATACAGTCACTAGCAGACACACACATAGTAACACACTCCCTGACACACACACACTAACAGACACACACTAACAGACAGACACACTCACTCACTAACACACACAGACACACACTAACAGACACACACACACTAACACACACTCACATTAACACAATCACTTTTTTTTTTTTTTTTATTCAACCCACCCAGCCTCCTTACCTTTGTGAATGCTGGGGGGGGGGGATTCTCCCTTTCCCTGGGGGTCCAGTGGCTGCTGGGCGGGTGGGCGGCGCTGGCGAGGGAGCACTTTCCCCTGAGCTCTCTGCTCAGCTCCCTCGCGTGCCGCAGAGTGATGCTGGGAACCGGAATATGACGAACAGATTTTTACTTAGACGAGACACTTGCCCTGGGCATTTGGGGGCAGCTTTTTTTGCCGCCCCCTGGAAAATGCCACCCAAGGCAAATGCCTTGTTTGCCTCGTGGCTAATACGTCCCTTCCTGGGTCATTGATTCTGTTAAGACTAGGTTTAGCTTTATGTTCTATTTGGATAGAAGCTGCTGCCAGGAGTACTTTAAACAACTTTGAAATATGGGAAATATTGGCAGGCATTATGTCATTGATCCTAGTTACATAGTTACATAGTAATCTAAGTTGAAAAAAGACTCAAGTCTATCAAGTTCAGAACTAGTGTGAGCCTAGGCTACCAATAATAATTTGTTAAAAGTTATTTAAGTTAATTTTGTTAACATTTTAGAAGAAATAAAATCCTTTAGTTAGGGACTGAGATGTTCAGTAACAAGAGAAAGAAAAGTTTGAGTCTACTGTAGACTGTTTCACTTTCTGCTGTATTTAGCTAGAAGTTGCTGCCACTTGAAATAACTGAGTGGGAGATAGAAGATTGGCAGGCATTTTGTCATTGATCTTAGTGCAGGAAAAGAAATCCTATTATTATCCAGGGTGTCAGCCTTGAAGCATTGTGCAGTGTTCCTTAACAGAAAACACAGTAACTCTACAGCTATTCATTCACCAAAGACAAACTTATGTTTGCAACACAAACACCTAAATTTGATTAATAAAGTTGTGTTAGTTTACCCATTATCCAATACACATTTATTAATAGCCCAATAACCCCATTTATTGTAATAAGAAAAAGAAACCTACGATCATCAATGATACGTATTAACCCCAAGTATAAATTGAGGAAGGGTCATGTTTCCCAATCCAGTTTTAGCAGTAGTGCCATGGCCTATAAGAATCTGAACACATCTTACACAGTCATGAGGACAGCTGACACTTCCTCTACTGCTGCTTCCAACATCACTGCTACCTTTACCACTATAAGTAGTATTCGGTATCATAATAGTGGAATTAGAATCATGCCTGTTAGTCCAATTCACCAGCCAGGAGGCTTTTCATGCTGCAATAAATGTTGCTGCCACTTCCACTGGCACTACAGTTCCTTCTACTGCAGTTAGTTTAAAGGACCACTATAGTGCCAGGAAAACAAACTCATTTTCCTGGCACAATAGTGCCCTGAGGGTGCCCCGACCCTCAGGGTCCCCCTCCCGCCGGGTTGAAGGGGAGAGGAAGGGGGTTAAAAACTCACCTTTCTCCAGCGCTGGGCTCCCTCGGCGCCGGGGTATCTCCTCCTCCTTCAGGCATCATCAGCTGAATGCGCATGCACGGCAAGAGCAGCACGCGCATTCAGCCAGTCCATAGGAAAGCATTCTTAATGCTTTCCTATGGACGCTGGCGTCTTCTCACTGTGAAAATCAGTGAGAATCGCGGAAGCGCCTCTAGTGGCTGTCAATGAGACAGCCACTAGAGGCTGGATTAACCCTGAATTAAACATAGCAGTTTCTATGAAACTGCTATGTTTACAGCAGGCAGGGTTAACCCCAGATGGACCTGGCACCCAGACCACTTCATTAAGCTGAAGTGGTCTGGGTGCCTATAGTGGTCCTTTAAGTGTTACAACTTCTGTGTTTTCTAGTGCTCCTTTGGCGGCAGGGATGGAACCAATGAAGTTGGTGCCATTGCTTGTGTTACTTCCAATTCACCCCCCACCCCCACCCCCCAAGAAGCAGCTAAGGGAGAGCTCTGCAGAGACTTTGTTGGTGCCATCACACAATGAAATCTAGTAGTCTACTGTACATTTTTCCATTACCTAGAACATGATACAAATGCAAATGTTTATATTTGGTGTGTCTGACAATTGTGGTGTTATCGACAAGCAACAAAGACAGCTTCAATTACCTCTAACAGCTGTGTTTAGATTTCAATAAACAAATATAATATATTAAATGATGACAGTGGCATTCTCCTGAATGAGAGCAAAGTGTTTACTTTTTATTACAAATGAACCTATGTACACAAGCGATATTATTAACTAAAAGCTTTTTAGTAAATGCAGTTCAAACTTTGCTTTAGTAACATATGACACTTTTATTTCAGGTAAAGCACCATATCGTTATGTAAAGCAGATTCTCGTCTGGTCATGTCTAATGACGCAAGGACATAAAACAAGAATGACGTTAATGTTTGCTTGGCAGACAGTGTTACTCATTCCTGAAAAACCAGATTAATAATATAACCTATCCAGGAAATGAGAAAATACAGTTACTGTTTAACCCCTTAAGGACTGGACTGTTTTTGCGATGTTGTACATTTGCGACCAGGCATATTTTTACACTTTTGTGGTGTTTGTGTTTGGCTGGAATTTTCCGCTCTCTCATTTACTGTTCCCATACAAATTATATATTGTTTTTTTCAGGACAAAAGGGCTTTCTTTACATACCATTATTTATATAATCTCATGTATTTTAATTTAAAAAAAATAAAAAAATATGATGAAAAATTGAAAAAATACATGTTTTTTGACTTTTACTTGAAAAATCTTTTACTCATCTACAAAAGCGAATTAAAAAAACTGCTAAATAGATTCAAAATTTTGTCCTGAGTTTAAAAATACCCCGTGTTTACATGCTTTTTTGCATGTTATAGGGCTATAGGTACAAGTAGAATATTGCGGTTTCAAAACATAAATTTTTTAAATTTATCAATAGTGACATTGTAACACTATTATCTGTCATAAATCTCTGAATAACACCCTACATGTACATATTTTTTTTAAAGTAGACAACCCAGGGTATTCAATATGGGGTATGTCCAGTCTTTTTTAGTAGCCACTTAGTCGAAAACACTGGCCAAAGTAAGCATTCATATTTGTTTGTGTGTGAAAAAAAGTAAAAAAACTAAATTGAACGCTAATTTTGGCCAGTGTTTGTGACCAAGTGGTTACTAAAAAAGACTGGACATACCCCATTTGCAATACCTTGGGTTGTCTTCTTTGCAAATGGTATGCCATCATGGGGGTAATTCTCATTCCTGGGCTACCATACGCTCTCAAAGGCAACGTAACCAACCTGGCCATTTTCAATGTAAAATATTTGACCCATATATTTGACCTTGTAACTTTCAAAAATGCTATAAAACCTGTACATGGGGGGTACTGTTTTACTCAGGAGACATCGCTGAACACAAATATTAGTGTTTAAAAACTGGAAAACGTATCATAACAATTATATCATCAGTAAAAAGTGCTGTTTGTGTGTGAAAATGCAAAAAAAGTCACTTTCACTGACAATATCATCGCTGTGATATGTTTTACTGTTTTGAATCACTAATATTTGTGTTCAGCTAAGTCTCCCGAGTAAAACAGTACCCCCCATGTACAGGTTTTAGGGTGTCGTAGAACGTTACAGGGTAAAATACAGTGCTAGCAAATTCAATTCTTTGGAATTTCGGCCTGGGTTGGCAGGCAGGTCCCTTAAATTGCAATCAATAAAATTACTGAATTATGTAAAACTATTACATAAATACGCACGTAGAATTTAAATATATATGCATATTTATATATCTGAAGTCTGCGTGTATATTTATATAATTATTTATGTAATTTTGTATATGGACATATGTATATTTCTTATTATTTTTATTTATTTTTATATACATAGATATATATACAAATTCATTCTAAGTGTATTTTGATATAAATATATATATATTAATTTTAAAATACAGTTAGAATAAAATTTCATATAGCTATATAATTTTTTTTAAATTTTTTATTATTATTTAAAAAAAATTTTATTTAATTTAAATTACTTATTATTTATATTTTATAATAATATATATATACAATATATATAGTTATTATATATATTATATATATACGTGTGTAATTTAATTATAAGTGTATTTTTATTTTAATATAAGTACATATTAATATAAAAATACACTTAGTATGGTATTATATATATGATATATAGACATATATTATATAGATATAATATATGTCTATATATCATATATACACATATATAATTAATTATTTATTTTTTAATTAACATTAACTTTATTTTTTTTCTGATTTTACACATGCAGGGAGACTGCCTGTCAGCACAGGCAGTCCCCCTGCAGGCAGACACATGGACACCTATTGTGACCATGTGATCGCTCTGTTAAGCGATCACATGGCCACAGGGGTCCTAAATCAGTGTGGGGAGACTGTCTGGGCAGCAGGCAGTCTCCCCACACCGGGAGCCACGCTGATCGCCTCCGGGGGAACGACGGCGATCAGGTAAGTAAATAGAACCGTTAGGACGGTTCAGGACCGTCATCGGTCCTCAAGGCAAAAATGCCGATGACGGTCCTGAACCGTCCTGGGTCGCTAAGGGGTTAAATGAGAAGTGCCCTTAATTATCCTGTTGTCTTAAGCAGAAAGTAAATAGGTGCTATACAATCACTCACAATTGTTTATTTAAGCCATTTCCTCAAAAAACGCAAGGAAATGGCCTGAATGCAGTATTTCTGTCCTCTTAACTCTGCAATGTAATACATTGCAGTTTATTTTAGAAACTACAATATTTACATTGCAGGATTCAATCCACCACCAGTGGCTGCAATGCTGACATCCTCTAGAGGTGCCGATATTGTATTGACCAAGTAAAACTCATTCACTTGATGACCCCATAAGACGTTGCAGGAGGTGGACATGTAAGTAATGCAGAGAAAACCTTCGCACAGTTAAGAGGTAAATATAAAGGTTAATTTTATTATTTTCATGGGAAACGGGAAAGGGGGGACTGTATTTAAAGGAACAGTATAGTGTCAGGAATGCTTGCCATCTGTGGTGATGATGTGGCTGTTTAGGTGACCATTCCCCCTCCGATCTTAGCAAAAAGGTTATTTTACTCACCTTTTCTATCACGCCGCACTGGTCTTGCAGTGGCTGGCCCACCTAGCTCAACATCCATGGTTGAGATCATCAGTCTTGAGCCAATCCAATGCTATCCAATATGAAAGCATTGGGAGGGAGGTGATTGTGCATGCAAGGCAAAACACCACGCTGAGCTAGTCAGCATCTCCTCATAGAGATGAACTGAATCAATGCATCTTTACGGACAGTAGCGTACCTACCCCGCATGCATGAGAGTAAAGAGGACCTTGCTTAAAAAGATGGCAGTGCTTGTGAGTTCAAGTAAGTAAAAATTAGCTTCCCCTGCAAACCCGGGCCTTAGCAGTAAAACTAGTGCAGTCACCATCTGTGGTCTTTGCTAAATATTCAAAGACCCCAGAAGGTGACAGAGCTGCTTTAAAATGTCATCATTATATAATGTAATGCTTATGCAACCACAGAATCATTGAACGTGCCCAAAATAGGCTGTGATTGAAAAGGAGGTACAATGTACAATCATACTCCAATTCTTCCCTAAGTTCTCTGTTAACCACCCCAACCTAAAAAATCCACTCAGCCTTACCTTAATGAGTCCTTTTTAACAGCATGCTTAATAGAGTCTGAATGTCTCTCTACTACATTTGTCGTACTGAGTTTAAGATTGTGAATTTTTTTTTTATCTGCTCATTTTAAATGCTTGTGTGTACAGTGTACATTCTGTATCTGGTGTTTGAATTTTTATGTGTATTTCAGTGTGAATAGTGTATGCATGAAATAGTTACTGTGAAGGGATCTGGGGTTAAAGGGGCACTGTAGTCACTATAGCCATTTCATCTTTTTGAATTGGTTATAGTGCCTGGAGTCCCCTGGCACTGTTTCTCCATTCAAAGTGAAAACTATTTTAGAGCAGTTTAACACTAAATAAGGTTCCTTGGCCAACCACAGTCCGGCCCCTTCTGGATGTGCGGCTTGTAGTCATAACCTTCATACCATCAGATGGAGATCTGACTGGCTAAAAGCAGTCAGCTGACATTCTCAACCAATCACAGCTACCCATTGCTGCTCAAGCGAATGCTTCCTCATTTAGCATTAAACATAAATAAAACTTTAAAAACTGTTTAATGCTGAATATAATTATGGTACCAGGGGATTGCAGACACTAAAACTAATTTAATGAGATGAAACAGATACAGTGCCTTCAGTGTCCCTTTAAGAGGTGCATGTCTGGGGGCTTTACCCTCTGAACGCCCGCTAGCAATACCCAATATATGGAATATGGCATGAGTTAATGTCTCTTAAGAAAGTTACGAATACAATGTACGAGCACTTGTCATTCCAAATTCCTTTACATATCTTGGGGTTGGGGTTTTGTGAACAGAGTGACTTGACATTATCTAACAGACCTGTAATTATATTAATTTGAGTTGGGGACGGTGCACTCCCAATACTTACCTAAACTGGCACTAGAGCTAAAAGCTAGACATTCCCAATACGTATTAATAAAAGGTATGTGTCAGAGGAAGATTATAGTTTACTTGGGGACTAGCACCAGAAGTGTGAGAATAGGTGTAGTTATCATCAAATTATCAATTTGGAGGTTTTACCGAGGCCCCATCAATAATTATTTCAAATAACTCTTTAAAGTAGGATAGTTAATAGCAGATGTTTTGATATTCTGTAGTAAAACATGTAAGATCAAGGGTTTAACAGGCTAAGATAAAACCTGGGTGATTAAATAATGTTGTGTATTTTGGTGAGCTTTGCATTTATTCTAACTGGAGGTTTGGTTCCTATTTAAAAGTGAATGAAGCGAGACAAGGAGTGAGTGAAGTTAAAATCCATTTCCCATGCCCTGAGGAGAAAGAGATACCTGATTGGTCAAAAACCAATCACGGCTACAGTCTCTGGGCAAATCTGAGGAAAGTTCCATGTATGATTCAGTCAAACAAAAAAAGAAAGGTTCTGAGATAAAGTAAGAGGGTGAACTGAGATTGATGAAAGGCATGTAAAATTGAGAAGTAGAAAATAAGTTTTATAGATTAGTAACCTCTCTTTTCCATATTGTTTTTAAAAGTAATGCCAGAACAGCAAAGAATAATGGCAATGCCGATTTCATAGTTTTTTAACATTCGACAAAGCTGGATAACCCATCAATAACTAATGCCAGGCATTTCAAGCTATAAAAGAGATTCTCGCACCTCGGGTCCTTAAAAGGTTAAAACAATATCATAACCTCTCTAATAAACGAGAGGCCATTGCCTTCAATGTATAAAACAGTACATGTGACAGATTCATCAACACCACTGAATAAAAATATACTACTTAAAGTGAAATTAGAAGTTAAAAGAGTAATTTTAGGCTGAGATAATTTTATATATTAGTCTGTCTGTCTATCTATCTATAGATCTTTATAATTAAATTAACAGTTGATAATACCCAGCAATAATGAAGTCAAACATCTCATTGACAAGAATACCATTTAGAATAAATAAAATTAAACTCTTTGTCAATTCATGGTTTGATGTGTAAAAAAAAACAAAAAACTACATATCTTAATCTTATAACCATTTCATTTCCTCTAAAATGTTATTTTATATAGCTTGGTTACAGTTTCCTACCTTGAAATAACTGTTCCCAAAGAGACAGAATGTTTGTCATTGTATGCCACAGTTTCTCTTCCCCTGATCACTTAATGTCTAGCTGTAGATGAGCAGCAACGTCTTAAATGCTTCCTGACCCCCTCCCCTTTTTGAATACCGCCCTTGTGCATGGCACTAGTCAGGTTGCTACGAGACAGTGTCTCACTTTAAATGACAAAGGACTTTTCATTTCAAAGAAAGATTGCTGTCATAGAAGAAAACAGCCACCAGTATAAATGACATATAGTTTGACTGACTCATAACTGCTGTAAAGTACATCATTATTACTTAAGGGGAAACTGCCACCAAAAAATAGCATATATATTTCATTCTATTAAACTGTGAAAATGTGTTAGTTTTAATCTTTTTTTTTCCAATATAATTTTTGACATAGATTTTTTTTTATTCACAATGAACATTTTTTTTTTTAATAATTGAAAGTGCCTATCTGAGCTCAGGGAAGTATATGTGCTGTATATATATATACTCAATGTAAAGAGAAAGAAACTAGTGTATCACTAGTTGTAATATTTAACCCTCCCTTGAGGCCATACATAAAATCATCATAGTCAAGGAAATGCCTTGCAGGAGGAGTAGGGACAACCTTGGGAAATTCATACTGCTATTAGCATGTGCAATTCTGATATCTTTACAAATGAACACTCAGACTCCACATGCCAGTACTCTAAACACCCATTTCCCCCTAACCCTAAATTTAACCCCTTTCAAAAAGTCCAAATAGTAAGCACTCAAAGCCTAAAACTGGAAAAAATTCTAGGTTAAATTCCATTGTAAAAACAACACCAACAACAACAAACAAACACACACAATGCGCTTGTTCCCCTCCTCTTGATCCCCTTCCCTCACTTGTTCCTCTCTTCTTTATCCCAATCCCTCAATTGTTCCTCCCTTCCTTCTTCCCTTCCCTCACTTTTACCCCTTTTCTTTATCACATTCCCTCACTTGTACTCCTCTTCTTTCTTCCCATCCCTCACTTGTACCTCTCTTCCTTCTCCCCATACCTCATGCCACATAGTGTGATCTGCTTTGTGCACCCCTTTCACACCTGTAACCCTGGGAGTGTCCATGGCCGAGGGCTCAACACAGAGAGGGGCCCAGCGGCTCGCCCTTTATACCGCCAGGTGCAATGCCTCTCCTCTCACTCTGCCCTGAGAAGGATAGATCCTAGCACAGTCTCTGGTCTGCAGCTCCGTTGGGTGCAAAGCTGCAGACTGTGAAGTTAGTGTCTCACGAGTTCAACCAATCAGAGCATTACCACAGGACCACAGGATACCCCATGCTCGCAAGACACCTGGTCTGCAGCTCCAGATGGCTAGCCCACTGGACCACCAGGGAAAAAAACACCAGGGAATTCATCAAAAGGTATTTGAAGGTATTCAGTGGGAAGGCTGGTCACAGAATCACATCCTCCCCCACACACTGTCACCCCCTCCAACACATTGTCACCACCACCAGGGGAGGGCTGGCAGCCTTAGGCCTGGGGGGCAAAACCAGTCAAGTGGCCCATTGCACCACCAAATCAGTTCACCATCCATGCCCACCTTTTCCTGGTTTTATAACGGATATTGATGTTATGCTAATCAGTAGCTCTTTGCCATACCCGCTCCTTCACGGCTCCAGGCACTGCTTGTTGTGAGTGTGAGCCACTGTAAATTAGGGGCAGAGGGCACTTGCACTGCGGTAAAGATGGGGCTGGACAGGAGGAGAGTGCAGTGCAATCAGTGCACTCCCCTCCTGTGGGTCACCAGTAGACTGGTGCACCTGCCCAGGATCAGTGCCGGTGCAAGGATTTTTGCCGCCCTAGACAAAATAAAAATTTGCTGCCCCCCCATGTGACATCACAATGCCCCACCCATATGAACTAACGCCAGTGCTGCACACAGTGTGTGTTTACATTAAAAAGCCTGCAGGGACCAGCTATAGACACCAGAACCACTTCATTAAGCTATAGTGTCCCTTTAATGTGAGGTACATTATAGATTAGTGTCACTAATAATATACTAGATTGCCTACTTACAAGCAGATGAGGATGATGATGGGCTGCAGTTTGGCTCCACTGGTCTGGTGTAGAACAGGATCTCTGGAGGCTGTTTGCAGCTGTGGTCACAAAATTCAATGTTCTGGGAGAATTGGAAGCAGCTCCATTTTTTGGGGCCCCTTACACAGCTCAAGGTCTGGGCCCCAGGGCCTGACGGTGAGTATGCCCATAAGGCCCACTCATAAGTTCCACCCACCCATGAGTTCGCTCACAGGGAGTGGAGTGTGTAGGGGATGTGTTATGTGTTATTGTAGAGGATCTAATATGTGTGCTTATGGTATGTAGTGTATAGGGTTACCAGTTTGTGCAGGTGATGTAGTGTGTTTGTGTGTAGTGGAAGCAGTGTGTATTTGTGTATAAGGATGTATTATGTGTTTCTGGTTGTGTGTAAGGGATGCATTGTGTGAATCTGTGTTTGTATGCATAAGGGATGCAAGGTGTGTGTCTGTATGTGTGTGCATTGAGTGTAAGAGATGCATTGTGTTTCTGTGTGTATGTAAGAAAAGAAGTGTGTGTGTTTGCATATGTGTGTATGGGTTTGCATTGTCTGTTTCTGTGTATGTGTGCAAAGGATGCATTGTCTTTGTGTGTATGGGTTGCATTGTGTGTGTGTGTGTGTAATGGATGCATTGTGTGTTTCTCTGTGTGTAAGGGAAGCATGTTGTGTTTCTGTGTATGTATAGGGATGCATTGTGTGTGTGTGCGCGCGCGTAGTGTGAAAGAGCTCCCTGTCTTGGCCCCTGTCCTATAGAGCTGCCCCTTCTGTCCCGTAGAGCTCTCTCCTGCACCTTAGTGGTCTCTCCTCTCCCCCACCCTCCCCTAGCGGTCTCTTCTCACACTCACCCACCCTCCCTGTGCTCTTCTCACTCCTCCCTCTATGTGTTCTCCTCACACCCCCTGTGTTCGTCTTACCCCCTCCTCCCTGTGTTCTTCATACTTCCCCCCTTGGTCGTCTTACTCCCCCACCTGTTCTTCTTAACCCCCCTTCTTCTTCTTCCTCTTCCTCCCCTTCTTCTTCTTACTCCCCCCATTTCTTCATACTCACTCTTCTTCTTACCCCCTCTTCTTCTTCTTACTCTTCCTCCCCTTCTTCTTCTTACTCCCCCTTCTTCTTCTTACTCCTCCTTTTTCTTCTTACCCCCTCTTCTTCTTCACCTCCCCTCTTCTTCTTCTTGCTCCCCCACTCTTCTTCTTCTTACTCCCATAAACCTTTTCTTGCCTTCTTCTTCTTCTTACCCCCTCTTTTCTTATCCTCCTCCTTCTTGCCTCCGCCCTCCCTTTTCTTCCTTCCCCTCCTCTTACTCCGCCTCCTTTTCTTATTCCCCTCCTCCCTCTTCTCCCCCCCTCTTCTTCTATTCTTGCCTCCCCCCTCTTTCTCCCTCTCTTCTTCTTCTCCCTCCTCTTCTTCTTACTCCCCCCATCTTTTCTTACTCACCTTCTTCTTCTTACCCCCCTCTTTTCTTATCTCCCCTCAGCTGCCTCCCCCTCCCCTCTTCACTTACTCCCCCCTCCTCTTCTTGTTCCCCTCCCCTCTTCTTATTCCTGTCCCCCCTCCCCTCTTCTTGTTCCTCCTCTTCTTGTTCCCCCTCCTCTTCTTATTCCCCTTTTTATCCCCTCCTCTTCTTGTTCCCCCTCCCTCTTCTTATTCCCTCCTCTTTATCCCCCTCCCTCTTCTTGTCCCCTTCTTATCCCCCCTTCTTATTCCCCCCTCTTCTTACCCCCTCCCCTCCTCCCTCTCTTCTTACCCCCTCCCCTCCTCCCTCTCTTCTTACCCCCTCCCCTGTAGCGTGGCCGAGCTGCACTCCGGTCCGCGGTGGCCGGCCGGCGGGAGTGATAGGAAGGTGCACACTCAGTGTGCACTTCCTGTCAGTCCGGTCGGTAACAGGAAACAGAAACTCCGCGCGGAACAGGAGTTTCTGTTTCCTGTAACCGGCCGGACTGACAGGAAGTGCACACTCAGTGTGCACCCTCCTATCACTCCGGCCGGCTGGCCGGCCACCGCGGACCGGAGTGCAGCTCGGCCATGCTACAGGGGAGGGGAGGGGAGAAGCTGCAGCCGCCTGAGGCTCTTAACAGAGCGCTCAGGCGGCTGCAGTATTTAAAGGGCCGGCCCGCCGCGGCCGGCCTTACAGGAATTTAGGGCGGCCTGGGGGGCAATTGCCTCCCTGCCCCCCGGCCCAGCCCGCCCCTGCTGTCAGTAAATGTGTGTGTCTGTTAGCTAGTGTGTATACGTCTGTTCGTGAGAGTGTGCGTGTGTAGTTAAAACCCCTTCAGCACTTACCTTTTTCCAGCGCCGGGCTCCCTTAGCACTGGGGATCTCTCCGCCCTGATGCGCGCATTCAAACCGCCCATAGGAAAACATTACTCAACGCTTTCCTATGGACGCCCAGCGGAATCGCGGAAGCGCCTCTAGTGGCTGTCAGTGAGACAGCTACTAGAGGCTGGATTAACCCTCAGTGAAAATGTTTTCAACTAGAGGGACCTGGCACCCAGACCACTTCATTGAGCTGAAGTGATCTGAGTGCCTAAAGTGGTCCTTTAAGTGTATCTGCATGCACTGGCGGCACACAGCGGTCGCAGGGGTTAC